TTACATCCAAGATTTAGGGAGGTCAAAGTCCTTGAAAGTTGGGTGCAAATAAATAGGAAAATAAAATTATCAGGTGTAGAATTGGAGATTTTAGAGTGACAGACTAAAATCTTCAATTCGGTCATATCGTTTGGGTGCTTAAGTGTAGATGTTAGCCCTCAAACTAGGGGAACGTGGAAGTTCCAAAGTGAGAACCGCTATTCTCCCAGCCTAGTCGTAGATTCAGTAAACAAGCATAAGATTAGTCAATATTTTTTATGCCTAGACCAAAGGGTAAAGAATATGTATGCTCCTATTTGACACAATCCAATTTGAACTGATTCACTTTATCCATTCACTTTAATTTCTTGACAAGGAGAATGATGCTTTCTTATATATTGAACTTCACATTAGAAATTTTATTAGTAAAATTAGTTATTTAAGAGTTATTAAAATTACATATTTATTTCAATTGCCTATTTGTGACAGATAAGCAATTTGAACTATATTGTTGTGATTAAGTATTGATTTTCAAAAATCTTAGTTCGTAGCCTCTAATATTACTCCATGTGGGATCAATATCCAGGACTCTATTAGAGTCCTGCATTACTTGAGCGATACGTATACTTGCGTTGATAAGTGTGACTTTGTAATTATTGAATATTTTATTTACATCTTTATCGAATCTATAACCGCTGTCAAGTTATTGGCGCCGTTGCCGGGGAATTAAATCTTCTAGCAGCAGTATCAAATTCTTGTATTTTTAAGCATATATAAAGTCGCTGTCACTAACCTCTTATGATCTTATGAAGCAAAAGATTTTACCAACTGCCTATTTTTAACTTCTTAATATATAAGGAGAAAAAAAATTCTTATACTGATACTAATAAAATCATATATATGCAGGACTTAAATGCTTCTAATTTTGATATTTTCAGACGATAAAAATGATCTCGCCTAAAAATAGGGGGGCAACTGATACAACACCAATAAATTTTCATCATCCTGCAACACGGATCCCGAGACGATATTTTGAACAAGAAACATTCAAATCTTGATAAAAAGTCATCTAGAGCTTCAATTTCAACAAACTTACAGTCAAAATGACTGGCTCGATGAGACGAACCTAATGATATAAAAACTAGCTCAATCCAAGTCAAATCGAGCCCAAATCAAGTAATTAAACCATAATTAGATGATTAATGAATACATTTGGAAAGTCAAACGACTGTCAGATATGACAAATTTATACTCAAATCGAGCGTCTTGACAAGACAATTCAAACGAGCCCAAGATCACTCAATTCTGACATCATTAAGGCACTCAAATGTCCATTAAACGCCGTATGATCGAGGGAAGCTCTTCGGACCATCCGTCAGACCATCCGATCAAACTTCAGACCATCCGATCAAAATGGTTCATCTTTCTACATTAATTGCACCCAGAACACTATAAATAGAGCCCCATCTCTCTCATGAAGAAGAAGGAAGTCTAGAGAGAGCATGAGGTTTTGAGGAGAAGTTGCAGCTCAGCATCACCACCAACCGTCATCAACCACCACCGACCGTCGTCGATCACTACCAACCAAACGCCGTCAGTCGACATTGTACCTTGAAAAATATAGTTACCATTTCCCGTTTGTGGGATAAGCGATTTTTGTAATCATTAATCAATAGTGGATTTCAGCAACGGGGTCAGGTCCCGTGGTTTTTCTCTTACGGGTTTTGTCAGCAACGGGGTCAGGTCCCGTGGTTTTTCTCTTACAGGTTTTGCACGTAAAAACTTCTGGAGTCATGACCGCTTTTTTCTATTTCATATGTATGTTCTGAATTTTCATACAACACTAAGACGAAAATTTATTACTCTACCGTCGTGAATTTTTTAGCACGCATCAACTTTTGAGTTAGAGACGATTTATTTTAGTATAGTTAATTGATTTATAAGTGATCCATCGCCTAGTCTCGCCATCACCCGCACCGTCTGTACTCCAGTATTGGTTGTCTTCTGCCATCGCCGCAACTAGGGTTGTCAAAAAAGCTCGTTAGTTGAGAACAGCTCATATTCAAATCGTTAAGTAACTCTTGATCATATTGTTCATTAAGCAAGCGAGTCGAACATGAAACAATTTATTTTAGCTTAAAAAAGTTGTATCTATTATTTATATTATAATATAGTATATACATATATATCTAAGTTCAAATCACCACAATACGTTTGGTTATGTGCTTCTGCGTCTTTTATTACATATGAATGATACATGTTCGAATCCAACACTTTACACATATTTTTCTAATTAATATAAAAAAAAACCAATTTTGAGATAGATATTATTCATGAGCAGTTTTAAACATAAATCAATTTTGAACAAAATTATTTTTAGATTAGTCAAACACGAGTTTAGAAATGTTGGATTAATTTTGGGACTACAATGTAATTAATAAATGTGTTGGGTCATCATTTAATAAGTCAAAATTATTGTGGTCTAATTTAGAATTAAGTTTATGACTTTGGGCACATTTGTCATGATATTATAGTGTGGATACCATAAGTGCAAATTCTAATTTGATGAGGGGCAGAATTAGAATTAAGCAATATTTTTTTGTAACCGTCTCGTAGTTACTTCAAAGGGTAATGATCCCCGATTTGCTGAGAGACACATCCTTTTCTTGCACCCCATCAACAAGAAACTAAAGAAACTATAGAAAATCTGCAAATTGGAAGATCATACCTTGTGCAATCGATCTAATGGACTTCGATACGCTTCCGCTAATCTATGGCTTATTTCTCTTAAAATTGAATGTGATTTTTTTTTTAGTTCTAACATAGAACCCTAGTAGTAGTCCAGCTGTTGGCAATCGCTACTATCCACTATTGATCACGTTTTTATCTGCCAGTCGCCACCACACCCTGTCAATGACTTATCTTATGTTGGCATTATTTTTCTTTGAATTACATAAACAAATATGAAATCTTAAATTTATTCTAAAAAGAATCAAATAATTTTAATATATTTGAAATACAATATATTAATTTTATATTGAATTAATTTTTCCGGAAACCAAATGGTTGATTTTTTCCAAATTTCTCCTCACTTCAATGTCACGAGCTCTCGGGAACTAACAACCTCATAGAAGTTTGAGCCGGTTTAAAAATATCAACCCAATTAACTTGTTTTCGACTTTCGCAAAGCATAATATGAATGTCTCAGATAATTGTTCAAACCGTCCCTACAACAGAAGCGTAGGACCTCAGAACGCGGCGGAGGCTCCCCTCTCACCCATCGAAGTCGAGAAATTACCGCTTCGCCACATTCGTTTCTCGGATCTCCTCATAAACCGAATCCCAGCACCTAATGCTCCTTTAAGATCCCGCCGAAATGCGTTCCCTTCCCTTTCCCTTCCCCTGATCACAACCGAGCTCTAAAAACTCCCTCTCTGGCACGAATGCTCACCGCCGGCGCTCCGTCGGTCTTCGCTTTTGGTTTAACTGGTCGACTTTGGATCCGACGGCCAGGCGGAATGTCCTGCTTGGGGCTGCGGTCACGTGCGCGTTCGACGTCGGCTGGCGGTAGGGCGGCTGTGTGTATGGACTGCTTTCGGACCCCAGTGATGAAAACGGAGAAGAAAGATGGAGTGGAGATTGTTCGGCGCAACGGGGATCTCTGGGCCGAAGGCATCGAAGGCTCGTCCTCCAAGACGGGAATCCCGAAGCATCTTGTTGTCATGGTGAATGGCCTTGTTGGGAGGTAGCTAACGATTCTGCAAGGCTTTCTTGAAATATCTCGTCCGTTTCCTTGGTTTCATATGACTCGAGTCTTTACTTCTGTTCCAAGAGAAACTAGTTTGAGTGGCCTTTTCTTCAGTTTTAATTGTGGTTTGAGCTGTTGAGCATAATATGAAATAGCTTTCTGAAAGCCTTGGTTGAACTCACCATTGCTTAATCTTATACTCGTGCATTATATTAGAGAAGTAAAATTATATGTCTCTGCAAAGGTGAAGTGATCCTGCGGTTTAGAGCTTCTTAAAATATATCGAGGAAAGAGATTAGCAAATAAAGGATGTCTGTAGCTCCGAGTTAGCATTGGAGGAAACGGAGGCGATCCTTGGCTCAATTTTTCATAATTGCTTCCTCTAATCCTCCATATGATAGAGTAGTTATAGCGTACAAAGAAACATATGGACCAAAATAAGATTTAATATTTTTAGACTAAAAGGACTCACAATAACTCTATAAACTTCCCATTACATTTATTCTCTAGCCTTATCCATTCCTTCAAAATGGCCTTGATCTGAAGGTCGAGCAAATTGTGACAAGATATGAGCGCAGGTAATGTTGGTGATGTGTGATTTGGGGTTGGTAAATGACAGATTTGGCAACCGGATCATTGACTATCCTGAGATGCGGGACTAAAACTCCAATGCCTGGGATGGAGATTGATTGATGTGGTCATGGTGTGTTGGGATTTGGCTAAAGGAGATTGGTTCTAGAGAGAGGTGGCAAGAGTTTTTGGTAGAGGTTTGGAAATCGGCGGAGGTTGCCATTTCAAGAAATACAAGGATGTGGCATGGCGAATATGGCTGCGAGGGTGCGTGAGTAGCAGAGGGGAATTGGGAGGAGTCTGCTTTGGGAGACATGGGTAAGTGCTCGACTGTGGCGGGATAAATACAAGCATCGTTTTGCTAACGGAAAGATTAAAAATACAATAAAGTAAAATTAAAATAAAACACAATAAAAAGTCACTCATAGTTTGCTTCAAAATTCAGAAAGTAGTTTTAAGAAAGAGATGGGCAAATAGAGGATTCTCAAAACTTCATATAGCTTTGTGGGGAGATGGGTGTGCTGGCTCAATTTTTTCATATTTTCTTGCCTTCGTCACATACCAAGACACCTAATGAACAAATAACAAGCATTGATAACCTGTATACTATCAAATATCTTAGTCACTTTTTAAACTGCCCTATACATTTATTCTTTAACAGTTGCTCTGCCTTTCTTTTTTTTTCTTTTGCTTGTTTGCAGTGCGGAGGACTGGAGGTTTGCTGCGGAACAATTCATCAAGAAACTTCCCGATAAAGTTATTGTTCATCGTGAGTTTCATTCAATTTCAATGGCTCAAAGCCATTTATTACTTTGTCATGGCTTTGAATTTTATTTCCTAAAGTTTAATCTCACCAATGGACTATTTATAGCCCTTTTGTTGTTTGATGAGTTTAAAGATTTTCATACTATTATCTATGTTGGTATAATAGTATACTCATACATCAAATTAGACTACATGATTAAAAAAATTATTATTTAATAAATGGAATTTAGCCAACCAACTTAGTGAATATCAAAATAATAGAAATAACCTTATGCTAGTTGTCTAGTTTTTCTTAGCCTAGGTTTCTATTTTCTACTTCTACTGCTCTGAATGGTAATAGTTTTAAATGTTTGCTCAATTTATTGTGAATAGTTTGTGAGTTGTTTGGTTGCTGGATTTTGGAATATAGGGGAATTTAAAATATAGTGCAAGGTAATTGCAATTTATCCTTGCAATTTATTTAGAATCAATGTAATAATTTCTCTTGATTTTGTTCGGAATAATGTAAAACAATTAAAAAATAAATGAAGAAAACTAAGCCACACTCACTTGGAAAGGCATAAGATGGGAATGATAGTGTGTAAAGGAAAGAGAAGACGAGGTTTTTAGGGTGCTCACTCAGGTTGGACATCGTCGGTCGTTTAAAAAATTTGAAAATTGTTGGTCGCCGGAATGGATATCCAGACGCCCAGTTTTAAAAGATGTTTAATTTAATTTATATATATAATTAAAAAAAAATAATATTTTAATTTTTGAAAATACAAGACCGAACCGATCTCATATCTGCAATATTTTAAATGATCGAGCACAACAACGCAAGCAATATATCTACCTCGAAGGATAAATACACTACTTGCTGGTGATGCTCGATTAAATAAACTAAGGAAGTTATGACATCCGTTTTAGTCTACGAACCTTTATGTTGAACGATAAATTCCCTATCTAATATTAAGAATTAGATAGAGTTTATATTACCTGGGTTCTTAAAGCTCTCTATAGAGACAAATCCTTATAGTTAATTACCTCTTAAATGACTGAAATCACTTAAGAGAACTGTTACGGGCACTCTCGATGATGATCAGAGGTATCTATCTTCATGAATTCAAAATTTGTGGTTTTCAAGGTTGGATATAGAAAATTCAAGTGGGAAAGAGACCAAATGGGAACACTTATTTCTGGAGTCAAGGGAAAGAAAAGTAGGGGATGTCATGAATCCTGAGACGAACCTCGGTGACTTCCCAAATTATCCTATTGTTTGTCTTCAATTTCGAGAAGATATTATTTGATGTTTCATCATGCTAATTTTATTATTTAAGACTTATATTTGCGTGACACTGTCATACAAATAACTTGGAAGATATGAGAGTTTACATCGTATCGGACGACAACCTCAAAACCTAAAGTGAATTAGGGCTTAAATTGCACAACTTGACTGTGCAAATGCCTAAAAGACAAAGTAAGGATTTATGTCGCGCTATGCAGACTACCTCGAAGTCCTCAAAGTGAGGATTTATGTCGCGCTATGCAGACTACCTTGAAGTCTTATGACTTGTTGTTTAATCTTAAGGAAATGTATGTTGTTGTAGATCATCATCCTCCATCTGCTATTTCTCCGTCGTGCTTCCCACAAAGACTTGCTCCAAGCTTCAAATTGTAGCAACTCCAAATTTAGTGTTTTATATTTGCAAGTATGATTATTGTTGGGTCTCAAGGGCCCAGGTGTATCTCCTGATATATGTCCTACTTTTCTCTATCCAAAGAGTTTAGCAAGTGCATTAAAGTAAATGATGCAATAAGAAAAACAACAAATCACAGGAAGCTTAAACAAATTGCTAGAAAATCTGGTATAATAAAATCATATAAATAATAAAAAAAGAGAGTAAAAGAAAACACAATATCACGTATAAAGAACCAGTAATATGGATTTATATGTGACATTAGGAGTGTCCCCAATTGTCAGGAGGATCTGAGTGTATGGCTCAAGCTCAAATCCCGAAGCATTGAATTTCACTGTAGGTTGAGTCATGGCGGAAATAGAAATTTCACTACTTGATTTCATTAAAAGGAAGTTATGAACCACATCTTCGTGTATCCTTATGTTTAGCGTTTTAATAGACTTGTGGAATGAGGTCAAGTGCTTAATTTCATCATTCATTTGAAAATTAGGTAGAGGAACTCTGACCTAGGGTGTGCTTCTAAAGTCTATGAAGCCTATTCCTCTAAACTGTGCTTGAAGTGATTTAAGGTGTTTTGCTTCCAATGAAGTGTTTTTCAACTAATCCTCAAATATTTTTTAACTGTTTTCCAAATAATTAAATAAAAAATCAACGGAGAAGGAGACCGACTCACTTCTAAGAAGAAATCAACTAAGCAAAAGGGCAAAATCACAAGTAAATTGGCCTAAAAGCGTTTAAATTTTTTCAAAATAATGATCAAATCAACCTCCAAAATGTCTTTAAAAGCCTAAAAAAATCAACACTCAAAGTGCCCAAATCGATACATAAAAGCCTCCAAAAATCTTCTCAAATTGACACAACCAGAGAGCAGAAAACTGCCATGAAACGTGTTCAAAACCGCAGCACAAACGGGACACCAAATAGTTTCAAACATTTCCAAAACCGCGGCGAGGCGAGATGCCATTTCCCAATTGAGCTTATAAGAACAAGTGAACTACTGACGGTATTTCTCGAAAAGTTAAAGGATAAACTAGCTGCAGTTTTAATAACATCAATTAAACCAGTGAACTAAGCGCTCCAGAGTACGTTACAGCTCTTCATTTCCACTGAAACAAATTATTCACAGGTAGGTTCTTTGGATAAATATTCCTTTGCAAACAGTTCTTATCATCAACGTTTCCCTAAGCTAATTCAAATGATATGAACAACAAAAGACAAAGTAATTAAATACTACAAGGACTTGCCAATCCTGAAAATCTTCCATAACCAAATATCAAAATACTTCCCATGTGAGTTGTATGATAAGAAAATCTAAAACAAGTTTGAATCCCACATACATGTGTAAGCATTGAAGTGACATACATGCAAGATCTCCTGAATATTCACACCTATACATCAATTTTGACATTTATGCCACACAAATCTTTCATATATACCGTCCAAATATTTGATATTGCTAAAGAAATAATACCATTTCACGCATAGGGTAGAGCGTGGCACATATATTAGAATTAAAGTTTGGGTATTAGAAATGTAAATATATAAGAATTGGGTGGTGGGTACGTAAATAAAAAAGCATATATGTTACTCATTGAAAGACCTTGGCTGAAATTTACGGCTTAAGCATTTGCAATCTTCTGGAATTAAAACTGTATCACTATCAGCCTTATCCTTCCATTTGACAGCTAGCAAGGGGCAGCTCTTGGCCCTCAATATCAAAAGAAAGTGTTGGATTCTTATGCTTTAGTGTTCTATGCCATTAATAACTAATCCCACAACCACTGTAACTTGAATTCACAACAACAGCAATCATATATCTGAAAGCCTGATAGTGCTCATACTACTTGGTAAGCTAGTATGAAGGCCATATATTGACAAACAAAGACTTCCTGCTTGACTCGTATCCACATCCTCCATCACGCATGCTTTATTACAACAGTGACACCAAAACTAAAAAAAAAATAAATAAAATAAAGTTAATCTAATGTCTGTTAAAGATTTCGGCGCTGCCTGAACAAGTTATAGCCTTTCCAAAACCTTAATCCAAATATTAAGCGAAGAAGGGGAAGAAAGTGGGGGAGAGCAAGAAGGATCAATGCAACGAAGCGTCAAGGACTCCCCCCCACCAAATTTATGATCAATGAACAAATTAAGGATTAAAAGCTAAAGGTTAGACCAACCATGAACAGAAAGTAGATCCTTCTCATTGCATCAAACGCATATAGTAAAGAATTTATTAAGAGATACATCATGAATCAACTGAAGAAGAGAGAAGGGAAAAGAGTTACCTCTTGAAGCTGGTTCAAAGAACACGAACCCCAACAAAATCGGCAGCACCTCCACCTATCAAAGCTTTCTCAAGCTTTGCCAAAACAGAACACAGAACCCTAAAAGACCTCAAGCAAACACAAGATGAACTGTGCAGGGAAAATCCAATTAAAAGGATTAGAGGAAATTTTGACAGCACCTCCCCCTCTCTCGATTTTTTTGCCAACCTCCAAACCTTCCCCCAAGAGGGGTTTATATAACCAGAGGAGGAGAACAAATTTACAATCACTTACCTGGGAGGTGAGCCGAGACCGATCGTGACGAGGCGAGTGGCGACAAAGGTAGGTAGTGCCCGTGGTGACAAGGAAAGGCTTTTAGGCAGAGCGGCAGGGTGGAAGCTTTTCGCAGGGCACGGGGAAGAGGGGACCTCGAGCCGAAACTTCGAGAGGAGAGAATCGGAGGGCCGCTCGGTCGGGATCGGTTCGCAGGGAGAGGAGAGCTCGGGTTGATCCTTCGCAAGGAAGAAGAGGAGCGTTCGGTTTGGCTAGGGCAGCGATCAGACGAACCGTGAAAGGGAGAGGGACTCGTGTGCTTGAGTTTGGTTTAAAGACTTACGAATTTTAAAAATAAGGATTTTTTATTTATTTAAGAAAATGCAAATTTCGTGCAATTCATTTGTGCGCGGTGCCCTCGCAAAATGGGTGTCATTCTTAGCTAAAATCGACGTTCCGAATGCGTCGGTGCGGTCTGTTTCGTCATCCGGGGTCGTCTGGACAACTTTGTCAACAATCGAGTAAAAAAAACGTCGAATTCAATTTTCATTGAAATTTCGGTTCACGATCGATTGTTTCAAAAATTTTATTTAAGCATTCGAAAAATAACGGCACAGGCGATACGAATTGTAGTGATCAAACATGTTGACTGTCTGAATCGCAAAGTTTGTGCGCACGAAAGTACAAATTGTGCATAAGACCATCTTAGGGCTTAATTATTCTAAAGAAACTTCTTTTGGGTTTCATCATGTTGGTTTCAACCTCCTTAGTGCTAGAGGCCGATACCACACATGCGGAACTCCAAAAGGATAAAGGGGTAGGTTGGATTTCTAAAATGAGGCGGGTCCTATTTATAAGACTCTAAGATAGTCAAAGGGAGAACCCTAAGGCTAGACCCTAAATCCTAAGAGGAAAACTAGATCTCACTAAAAATGAGGTCAATAGAAATGTGATGGGATCATTGATGTGTGAAGAAAGAAGAAGAGGAGATAAATGTGGTTGATCATGGGTGATATACTGAGATGAGAGTCAGCGCGACGTATAGAGTGACATAGGTTTGCAAGGCTGCACTAGCAAAGAGAGGGGCAGGGATTTCAACGAGATGTTGCACTGTGATTGCACTGTGATTGCATATTAGTGTTGCATTGTGTCGTGGAGTTCGACGAAATGTCACACCATGGTACAATGTTCTATGATGCAATGATTTCAAAATTCACTCACTTTTGGAGAATTCTAAAGGCAACCATGATGAAGTAAACATGAATTGCAACATCCTTAAAATAGTACTTTGTGTTTACTCATCTTCCAACCAAACACTTAAAATAGTACTTCTGCCATAAGGAGTCTCGTACAGTGCCATGCTAATGCTAGCCTGGAAGCTGTAAACAAACTCTACCGGCGAAATATAATCTTTCCAACCGCCTCTAAAGTACAAAATGTAAACCCTCAATAAGTCTTATGCCATATGAATAGTGTGTTTGATTGACCATCTATTTGGGGATGAAAAACAGTGCTAAAGTCCAACATCGTACCCAAAGTTTTTTGCACTTGCATTCTTAACTTAGAAGTAAATCTCTTGTCTTGTTCAGATATGAACAAAAGACATTTCAATCAAACGATATTGTCTTTGTTGATTTTGGCTAACATTTTTACTAAATAATCACGCTTGATTTGTGAGAAATGAGCTGACTTAATGAGTATCAACTACAACTCAAATAATATCATGGTCCCGTTTCGGCTTAGACAAGCCAACCATGAAATCCATCTCTCTCCTCCCAGTTCTATTTTGGGATATGAAGACACTGCAATAGATCACCAAGTTTCTGATGTTTTTCCTTGACCATTCGGTAGGTCAAGCACTTAGTTACAAAATTTGCCATCTCTCATTTTAGTATGGCCGCCAAAATAACTTCTTGTGGTCTTGATATCTCTTGATACTTCTTGGATGAATCGAATATGGAGTAGAGTATGCTTTACGGATTATCTCCTTTTAAAGGCTTTCTTGATTTGAAACATACAACTGCTTTTGAAATATCAAAGTATCAGCCTGATTAATACCAAAGTCGGGTCTTAATCCATTCCGAGCTTACTGTCTAAATTGCAGTATGCCCGTATCCTTCATTCGAGCTACACGAATCCTATCCTACGATTTAAGGCCTAACTCGTTCTAGGTTCCGAGGTTGTCGTCCGATACGACGTAAACCCTCATATCTTCTAGGCGATTTGTGTGACCGGGTCACGCAAATATAAGCCCTAATTAAATAAAATTGGCAGGATGAAACACTTTAATAATTTCTTCTCGAAACTTAAGCCAAATCATAGGATAGACTGAGAAGCCATCGGGGTTTGCCTCCGGATCTACGACCTCCCCTAGTTCCTTCTCGTTTGTATTCCTCAACAATGTTCCAGATTCGAGTCTTTCCCCCTTCACACCTCTTCGTCCGATCTCGTTGAAAAGTCATACCCTTTTGACCTCTTTGAAGATAATATTCCCTGATTTTTATCGAGAGTTTTCTTAAATGACTTCGGTCATTTAAGATGTAATTAATTATAAGGACTTGCCCTTATAGGAAGCTTTTCCGAACCCAGCCTAAAATAAACCCTATTTAATTCTTTGTATTAAATAGGGAAACTTGTCGGCAAATAAAACGGTTTTGCAGATCAAACAGATGTCATATATTTTTTAGTTTATTTGATTGAACCTCATCCTCAAGTCTTGTGTTTATCCCTCGGGATAGATACAAGATTTGAGGTAGAACGCTCTTTCATTTAAACTGTGAAAAATATGAGGTCAGTTTGATTTCATATTTTTCTAAAATTATATATATTATATATATGTAAATTAAAACGTCATTCCGAAGCAGGCGATGGGACTTCACTTCCAGTGACCGACAGCTTCTTACGGACAACTTTTGAACAAACCACCCTCAAACTTTTAACCTCTTCCCCCCTTTTAGCGCCGACAAATATCACATCTAATATACCATTATTTTTAATTTTTAAAAGTGAATACACATGTTCATATATATGTAAGATGTCATATATGTAAAAATTGAAATTTTGGTGTTAGATATGTTAATGCATAAAATTTGACTGAAATATATTTATATTGATTATCACCATAAAAATTTTTTTTGAAAATTTTTATTTCACTAATTTAGGAAATGTGTGTCCTGTGTGTGTCATCCTTTTTAATATTATTTGAACAAGATACTTATATGCCGTGTCTGATATGTGTCGGGACCGTGTCCGACTCTGTACAACTCCTTAATTAGAGAGGTCCCTGCATCATAGGTGAAAATTTCACAACGAACTCTATACAATAGCCACCAAATCTTCAGTTTAAAGATAATTGCTAAGCAAGATAATTTTACTTGTGCACCTTATGCTGTTGAAGGAATCAATCTATAATCCTACCTTATTGCATAAAAGCATGACCTAATCCTTGATGAGAAGCATCACTATAGAAATGAAATCATTCGATTTAGTGATTTAGAGATTAGAGTGGTACCCATAAATAACTCTATGTTGAACTTTATCTCACGATCAGGTGGTAAACTAGATAAATCTTAAGGAAATATATCGACAAATTTTTAAACCCCTGGAACACTATCTAAGTTAATGCTAGCTTTTTAGGTATCCACCACATGAACGAGGTCACCAATTCACAGGTGGGAGATCAACTTACATGCCTTCATTACTATAATTACACAAAATAGAGCTCATCTTATATCATTGAAACTAAAAGGGATTATAACTTGTATACAAAATTTTACTCGCCTCTTATGACCATCTATAAGGATATGTAGAAAGTCAATCATTATTAAATATTGCATCAAACTCAGCTAGTGGAAATAATATTAGTCTAGCACACATATAATATCATTGATAAGAATGTCACAATCATGAACACACTGAATAACAATCAAGGATGAGCCAAATGACAGTGATTGATATATGTGACCGTAATGAAGAAACTAATACACCAGATACAAATGTGTTTGATATGAATGAACTTTATATTCCAGAGAAACAATACTTTTACTGGTTGCTTAAAAATAAAGATGGTACATGTCACTACATCAAGCGTTTCATGGGCCTCTTTGTGACGACCAGTTTCAGTTCAAGGGAGACAAAAGGAAGAACCAAAGAAAATGAGGCAAGCAGGGAAGGAGATGAAATGAACAGAAAGAGATGAAGTGAGAAGTCGGGTGTTCAGAGGAGGGAGTGGAAACGAACATCCAAAGATGAGGAAGGAACAGTCAGGACACCAAACGATTTCTGCGGTTTCCCGTCTTGCGGGTGCCTCTGCGGCTGTCTTCCGGTCTCGTGAGTTCTGTGGCTTCCCGTCTCGCAAATTTTGCAACTTTTCGTCTCGCAGCTCCTTCCTGTCTCGCGAGCGGCTCGGGAGTGCTCGACTCTGCGGCTCCTTTGCAGTGCGGCTTCCGCGTGTTCTCCTTTTCATCTTCGGTTGACGCCATTTTTTTGTGTTTTCTTCTTAACGCCACACTTTTATTTTGAGGATGGCTTTAGACAGATCGTATGCTTAACTCATGGGTGTCAACGCCTCAAGTACACCTAAATCGTGCTCTTTTCCTCCTTTATTTGAGTGAGAGGAGGTCATCAAGAAACCTGGTAGGAAGAATGTGAAACCTGCTATCTTTTTTCAGAAGCTGAATGTATTCAACTTGCTTCCTCTTGTCGTCTGAATTTGGTTGAGAAATTTTTATATGATCATCCCAAAATGGAGCTTATTCGCAAGGAATTTGAACTTATGCACCTTGTTGGGAAGTGAAAAACTGGACTATTATATCAGAAATACATTCATATTCAAATTAATAATGAAGAATATTACACACGCTTATTTGCTAGAAGAATAATCTGGATTGATAACAGAACAATGAAGATTCTGAAATGGTCTGTGGATTTTGACCCACAGATGGAACCACCAATCATTCCGGTTTGGATTCGTCTTTATTTTTTTTCTCAAAAAGTGTTTTATTCTATTGCCTCAGCTTATGGTAAGCCACTCAAGACGGACATTCTTATTTTTAATCTTTTTCGTCCATCGGAAGCCATAGTACTTGTTGAAAGAGACATTACTTCTTCCGTTTCTTCGTCCATCGGAAGCCATAATACTTGTTGAAAGAGACATTACTTCTTCCGTTTTTGAGGAAATTTGGTTGGGCATACAACATGATGGATATTGGCAGAAGGTAGAGATTGAACTTTTTTCTTCGTATTGTTCGAACTGTCGTATGTTCGGCTACTCCAGTTCTCAATGCCATCATCTACATCCCCACC